AGATTATCCGAACCGTCCGTCTTTCATATGACGTTTTGCCACCTCTGGCAGGGATGGCAGTGATCTGAGGGATTTTATACAGGCGGATCCCCAAACTTTGTCGGGTTATTATCGAACTTGTCCCTTCCAGCCTTTCACGAATCGACGACTCACTGCAAGACAGGTTTGACGTTGGGCATTTTTTCTTCAAAGTGGCAGGTTGTTTTCGCCTTGCATTACACTGTCAAAAGCACTGTGACTGTTTTGTAGTGAACGAACTTGTGTAATTCGAACCTCGCCATGCCCTCGTGGTCTCACTGCTTCATCTCCGCGACTACTGATTTGCCTTAGCTAACCTCCATATTTTGAGGTCGTTCCCTTTCTGCTTCCCTGGGACCAACCACTAAGCACACTGGCTATCCGTAAGCACAAATAGCTGAAATTAGCCCTGATATTGTTGGTGTTCTGACAGAGTACTACTTTTCAGTACCGACAATAATATTGTTGTAACATGGATCGTCTTATCCTGATCATCAGAAACTGAAGCCAGCAGCAAAAACGATTTTAAAAATGGAACGTTTAATATAACCCTTAATAAACCTTTTCTCATCACGGGACTGAAAATCTTGGTTAGAAAGGGCGAGGGACAGACCAATGATACGGGGTTTAAGCATGTAAAGATGTTACTTTCTAACAGACAGTTTTTAATTCGAATGTGACTTCATTAAACAAAGAAGACTGTCTAGACAATGATTACTGTCGCATGTCACGGCGCAACGAGTTGGGGATAGCAGTGTGCTGCCAATTGAAGGTGCCTCGTCGTCAAAAGGCATCTCTTGAATTCTCGCTTTCTTGGGACATGCCATGCGTCAACTTCGGTGGCCGGAAAAGAGTCTTCTATCGGTATGCTTTATGTAAATTTTGCATGGTTTTTTTGTTGCGTTGAAGGTGATCACGTTTGATTATGCAATGTGTCCATGACTCAGGTCGTTTGATGACATGTGGCAACTACCTGATTGATTACCTTATGGTTAACATTCGTTTCTTTATAGCTCACTGATTATCTGCTGGCACTGCTGATTCAGTGTCAACTTTTGAACACAAACTCATTTTTGGAATAAATATGTGATCAATTTGATCTCTGAAATTAATTTCAGTTTAAGTGGCATCATCCAGTATGTTCAGCGAGGCCGTTAAATCAAAGGACCTTGTCATTCGAAAGAATCGTCATGACTGGATGCCTTTTCTTTATTGCCTGCATCCTGATGTGATGCATTGGAATTGCAGCGCCAGAATGCATTAATGCTAAACGATTTATCGCATTGCCAAATAGATATAAAGTTTAAAATTTATTTTGCAGAACAGTTGTGAGCGCGACTGAAAAGTAAATCTCATAATTGTTAAACTGAATGTTTTCTTCGTGCATGGCCAGGGCGTATGAATGATGAAATATGAAAATGCTTTAATTCATAAACACATTTTCGTACCCACACAGGCAACAAACTCGTCGTTGACCATATGTTGTGTTGATCAGTTCTGATAATGTTGCCAGTGTCGCTACCTCACCTACGGTCATCACGTGCGATTCGAGGATTTGCGACAGGAGGAAGGAAATTAAAAATTAATTTTATTTAACGGCCAACATTCGGTCGATTTCACGTCGGTCTTCGTCAGGATACGATGATGAAGAACGATTGAATCTGACGGAGATCCATGTGAAGTGGATCAAACGCCGGTTATTAATTAAAATTAATTTTTATTTCGTTCTTACTGTCGCAAACCTTTGAATCCAAAAGGATGCTGATGTTCAGTTGTTCAGTAATTCTAGTATGTAAGTAAGACTTTTCTCTTCTGTTTTCGTTTGGGTGTCCTGACCCTGTGTCGAGAAACTATTCACTTGAGAAAGTAACGGTTGGACATTGAAGAAGTGTTAAATCTCTTTGTACCCGGCTTTCTGCTGTTCTAGTTTTGTTTGCTATAGATGACAATGATGATGACAAGAGATCACCAGTTACGTTCAAAAATGGTCTGAAGATTAACAACAGGCAATTATCTTTGTTATGCAGATTGTTTCCACACTGGTGGGAAACCTTATCGTTTTCTACCTGTTTTATACAGTTTGCTGCCGTGGTCATGAAGCTTAGGATTTGGTTCGAGTTTGCAGGGTACAAGGAAACTTTGGATGCGATCATCGTTATGGCCTTGGGATCATGGGTTGATGCAAATAACATGAAATTTGACACGCTGCACATTACGCTTGTGTTCATAAAAACGATGCTTGAGAGGCTGTGCGTAGATTATTCAATGAGCTTATTCTGTAGGATTTATAAAGCCCATTGAAGTCTTTGGGGTGAGAAAAGTTTGCTGTTACCACGTTGAAAACAAGATAGAAGAGGTTAAAAAGCAAGAAAATCGCCGAAGATATTTTTGGGATCGAAATATCCGTTACCATCAACAGTGAGATAGAGGTCTGAACGATGCCACATCGTAAATGTATGTTTACGTGTAGGAATTTATATTTTTTAAAGAGATGATATCAGGAAAAGATAAATTTATACAGAAATATAAGCCTTAAGCAAAGTTCTTCTAAAAGAAACCATTTGGGCTATCGCACTGTCCCTTGCTTTGAAATTTCTGTAGGTATGTTGAAAAAGAATGCCTCTTACCATCCAGACATTGGTGTCCTTTACACTTTCATGATTGGGCTCCATTTATGATAGCATTTTAATTAATTTTATGGTAGGTGTCAATTTCTATTTCTATTTCATTATCCGGCTGTTTCCTGTTATTTTTATGGATGTCCCTACAGCTGTGTGAAAACTGTAGCATCTCGCTTCCTTTCCTTCTCATATAGTGGCACTCATTGTCTACTACAATAGGATGAAAGGGCAGTGCTCCAACGCGTATGTCAGCCCATAACTTCTCGGTTCTTAATCTGCTCTACCGACTGAGCAACCCCGTCGTTTAATGAAGGGGCTCCATCTCATGATAGGTTCCAATGCAAAGATGCATGTTCCGTCAGTGTTTACAGTTAATACATTAATGTCTCCAGTTACTTTTACTGTTTACTCGTATACCGCCTAAGCTTATCTGTCAGAGTCAGTCTTCGAAGAGGCACTCAGCCTGTAGAAATACGTAGTTTCCTTCAGGTTATCCTAATTTCCTGATGTCACGTTTTGAATTATAGAGCAAAATCGAACCTCGCTCATGCAAATCAGCGAGTAGAGCATCCGTCCAACGTAAAGATACAGCAGAATTGTCACTGATATAAAAATAGGAGTCATCGTTATTGCTACGTGGGTTGTCGCATATTTTTGTGCAAACATTTTATTACTCTGGAATCTTCATTCGTTAATTTGCTTGATCGCTTTTGAACTTTTGATTTGCGGATCCCACCTGCCTCGGTGTAATGCATCTGATTTATGTGTCAGGTCAAAACTTATCAGCTGTTTAGTGATAAGAACGATGACGGGTTGTCACTACACAAGTACATTCCGATGGAGATTTTAGGCGATATACAAAATGGTTTGGTATCGAGGGCGACGCTGCTCCTCAGATATGTGTGTCCGGATTGAAAAATTTGCGGGAATGGGAAAGGCAAATTGAAGCATGGCAAAATCCGGTACTCTCCGATGTGTAAGTATTTTCTGTTGCATTATTTCTTTGCAGATTTTACTTTAGCTAGTTTGTTCTCTGTTTCTTTTCGTACAGTTGTAATCGAAGATGTAGCATCGTATTCTTACTGCAAAGATCATGTCATTCAAATTGATTGCAACTCGAGCAGATTGTCGATGAGTTTCCGGCGTTTCAGCTGGTTCAGCCCGACACTCATGTTAGAATAAGCCTTTGGCACATGTTTATATAATTATTACCAATGCTTAATAGATTCACTGACATCGTAGCCCAGATTTGTGATCCACACCTCTGAGCCCTTGAAACCGTGTCTGTGAACTACGTTTGGTAGCCGGTCGCTGACGCTGCAAATGTCATATTTCTTGTCGCATGTGGGTTCACCTCAACTAGTTATTTCCGTGTTATCTATTAGGCGAGCGCTTATATGACTAGGATGGTGGATAGTTCCCATATGAGAAAGATTTTGATTTGGGAGCATTTTCTTTCTCATTCTGATCCGTTTTGCCAAACGTAGTCACACGCTGATCTCTGAGGTTTTCTGTTTTCAGTTTCCTCGCAGCGCTTGTCATCGTCTTTCCGTTAAGTCATTATACATTGACGAGGACAGTTTTGTTGGTAACTTCCAAATCGAACTTCGTGATGATTCACTGTATCCGATGTTCCGACTTCTTAGTTTGCCGTTGATTTTATCCTTTGTTATATGATGGAAGCAGTTTGTTTGAATTCTCAGCTTTCAGGCAATGATGATCGTTCGCCTTTACGGATTGCCTACAGTCAGTGTTGTTGTCATCTTCGAAACAATCTGTCAAGTACACCTCCTTACAAACAAGGTTTTGTTCGGTCGAAAAAATGTTGCGGTTTTCGCAGTTTCTCTGTTTGCTTTCACTACACACTGTCGCAACATCTTTACTGGTTATACAATGTTTCATTTAGTACAACTCTTTATTAGAGGTGTATGGTAGCGTCGAAAATATGAATCGACTCACTCAATGCTGACCTTCATTAAATCCGTGCTCTAAAGAAAATGAAAATGTTCCACAGCTTCTTCTGATATACTTGAATTCATCGCCGCAAGGCTGTCTTGCTTGTTTTGGATGGACTTTCACAACTCTGCTTTTTTCTCTCTCTGCCCTTCCATTGTCCTTGATATTCTATCATGTGCATTTTCCAGTTCTTAGAAAGCGTAGTAAATGTTCCTCTTTTTTCTCTGACTGTGGCACAGGTACAGCGTCTGTCGTTTTCTGGAGCAGCAGACTTTAAGCCGTATTTTATTACGTCATATCCATGTTGTTTCTTTCGGTTTTCTGTTTCCCAAGCTGCACGTTTACTGTCGTCGGATTTGACTGTAGATGAATCTGGCTTACCATTGATTTTTCTGTTTTTTTGTCTGCGGTCTCTGGAAATAAATCGGTGGATGACAAGCCGGGGTATTTTGAGATTGCCTTGGTGTGAATATTGTGAATATCCTCATTTTAACCTTAGCACACTACTTTGAAGCTGTTAATATTTTCCAGCTGTTTTTCGGTATTAAGTACGGTAGTTTTTACAATTTTCATCAATCCGATCATTTTCTAGACGCTTGCCAGATTGGTACAAATCAGCGCTGTTCAACGAACTGTACTTTTTGACTGACGGTGGATCGGTGTGGTTTGAATTTGATGAGCGGTGGCTTTTGAATGAAACGTTAATTAGCAAATACACCGCTGACGTGTGGCGCAACATCGGAAGATTTGGTTACCTTGAATGTAGCTGTTAATTGTTTTTGCGGCTGCGTATTAATGTTTTATTTTTTAGCCTGGGAATACTTGATGATCAACACGTATGATGTGCATTTTTATGCTTCGGTTTCACTTGCACGCTTGTGGCCTGAGTTGGAACATGCAATTCAAGCCGAATTCTGTAAGTTAAATTTATTCCATCGTGTGAGTGGGGCACTTCATCCTGACTATATTAAGACTACTGATGAACAATTTACTATTTGAATGGCATAAATTTTAGCCTATGAACTGGAATCACCACACAACTGACAGTTATATTGGAACTGTCTAGCGTAATATCACATTATTTTAAGATTATACAGTAAATATCCTCTCGTTCAGTATTAACAAACGGAAGAAAGTGAATCAACACGTGAAGAAAACAGGGTGCATAACATGAACCATATCAGCCAACAAAGAACATTGAAAAAGAAAACATCAATAGGAAAAAAACAGAACTGCCGTACATTTGACAGAGTGTAATCGTTATATGTCATTTCCAGGTGCTTGCTGTTTCTGAGAATAATTGTTTTCACTGTTTAAGAGTGTTCCTCCCAAAATATTAATCAGTCAGGTTGATTGAATGGGATTGCTACTTAACATGCACTCTGAACAACTGTTCTTCCGCTGGAATACCTGGCAGGAGTAGTGGGAAGAATAATGTTTTGCGTCGTTCTTTACCTGCATACTTACAGTTGCCAGATTCGTTCGACTTTCCAGAGGCGGTAGTGGTGCACTAATGTAATCTGATAGCTTGTAGTCTGATTTACCATTTAGAAGTGTCGAAATCCATGTTTGCTTTAACTTTATTTTCTTACCTGTTGATTCGCTTCAGCAAAGGATTTTCTTCATTGCGCTTCGGTGCAAATATCCCAGAAAGAAGTAGAAAGTCGTTTGCATGTGCATGCGATGCCAAATGTACAGCAATGCTGTCTGATATCATACAGATATAATTTGCTTAAGCTCACGGGATAGCTGCCCTTAGCTAGTTGCGAGTCTTTGCTTCGCTGATTTATTCTTTCGATATTCACTATGTCAGGCTACCCACCCTATTATACTATCTGAAAGCGCGTAACCGCTTTTGAATTTTTGATCATGATTAAACAAAGTCTGTTCACTCTGTGGCTTCAAATCCTGAAGCTGCTACATGTCATGCGAACAAAGTTAGAAAGTTGTACTCCTACGCGATATGTTAGATAGGAATAGAACATTTTTACTACATACTGTTCAATGTAATGGATGCCCAATAAACTTTTTACTAAAGTGAGCAGGGAAAAGAGATGGTAGTTATGGATACGGTGTAGAATTCCCATACAGTGCAGTATTCTGCAGCGACGCAATGCAGCAATATTCATAGACATGCTCTGCATCTGCTGTCTGCCCAAGACGTTTGGGAGATTTCTAAATTCGAAAATGTCGATAACCTTTTGAATCACACGGGTCATTGAAATGATTCGTAAAAAACTTGCCATAAGATATTGTTATTAGAATGATAAGGCATTTAATATATAATGTTAGATGGTCTCTCCGACATGCCGACGGCGTATTGCACAGATATCACAGTAATTAGTTTTCTTATCTGCCAGGCATGAAATGTCAGCAGGAGAGCAGTTGCGGACGGAATTATCTTAAGTAACCTGTAAGCATATCTGGCATAGTAGCAGATCACCGTAGAACGATTGATTCATTCGGTCTCTGTAAGATCCATATTTTTCTTCGACCAAATTTTTTAAAATATTTTACAAGAAGCGATTTCGATTCAGGACATCAGCTGCATCCTAAATCTAAATTTCAGAAGACGAATTGACTTTTCTGTGGCTTAAAGTGACGAAATGCAAATATTTACTATTATAAAGTTAGTATTATGCAGTTAGTAACTGACGTTAGATCATTTGTCATAACGGAACATAGGTTTAAGCGAACATTTGACATATGACCTCCTTCATATGTTGAATTCATCTGTGAACTAAGCATTACGGGTTAAGAAGGTTAAAAGTTTCATGCCGATTAGAAGCCCGGTAATCTATAGGTTTTTTGTTCTATACGATTTTTAGACCGTGCTATAAATCTGAAATAAACTTTATTTGATTTTTGGAAATTGTTACACCAGGATTTAAGTTTTCATATAACTTCTTGTGGTTACAGGTGACCAGTTCTTCAATGAAGATCACAGTAGAGTTCGTTTTATGTACGATGGAAGCGTGAACGTCCGTAAGCAGAAGTATGCGATTCCGCACGACTTGGGCAATCCAGGTACTGTGTGTTATGTTCATATATGGTGAGCATGGTATTACACATCAGCCTCGTTTTCAGCGGACGAGCCGTGGTTGCAGACAAACGCATACGTGATGCACAACACCGCCCATTGGAAAGACCTGAACACGAAATTCATCTTAACCTGTTATAGGGACTACTTACTGCTGCACCTGGACAAAAGCTTTCTTTCTAAGGTTTGGCCAACCATTAAGGTAAATTAAGGCGAGACATTTCCTTTTGACGCAATGCCGTGAGACGATTGGTGTATTGTACTTAAGCAAATAATTGAAACTGGCCTTGAGCAGTGGGACGTCGATGGAGATGGCATGATCGAACAAGATGGAAAATGCGATCAAACTTACGACATATGGTGCATGAATGGAACTAGGTATTTCTATTTCGTCCTTCTACTTTTCGTTTTGAAATACGTTGCATCGCTATTACGCCTTATACATGTATTTCTACTTTTGCCCTCTCGTATCGTAACACCATCTGAGTCTTGCGGAAAGTTATGTTGCGTTTGCCTGCCTTAGGTCGGTTATTGATAGCATGTAATGCAGAATGTCCGCCGGATATAAGTTGACCCTCACATACCCTCGTGTGACGTTGTTGTTTGTTTGTTTGCTAACCTTTGTAAGCCTTTAGTCGACTCTTCGCTGTTGTATAACTTATAATAACTTTCTGTTGCTCTGTGAACTGACTTATCGTGTAAGTCAATCTTGTGACATTCCAACTTCACAAGTCTCACTTTGTTGTCTAAAAACTATTCAGTCGTTCTTGTCGCAAGCAACTAGGGGTCATACTAGGTAATACTAGGGATCATACTAGGGGATAGTGAACTACCGTTGGCCTTATTCTCCTTTAGCCGCTACGATAGTCGTAAAGTTCTGTCATGAAGTCTGAAACGGTCGGCCAAGGAGGCTCTAGGGGATTATTAAAACAATTTCTGACTGATATTCAAAACTATCCAGTAGTCATTGAACTGGTTGGAAAATGTTCTCTCTTACGTGGAAGCCAATGGTTGCCTCCGATTCACGAACATATGGCTGCTTACATTTAATAACGTTGGTGCTCTAAAACTCCCATATCCGTTGTTCTAAGGAGACAGAGCGTCTAATGACAGCTAAACAAAGAAATATAAACGCAGTTTATTGCACCAGGGTTTGCGTCTCTAGCTCGTAAACTGGGTTGTCCTATGACGTTGCCATCATTGGTGCAGCGTTCTCCCGTCAATTGCGCTTGGGTGATCATCTCAAAAGTCTTTTTCACAGAATGGTACTTTCGATATTTCGAACATCTGGTCCACGAATCGTTTATCTTTCCTTAGAAGAATCTCTAAGGTCAGGTCGGAAAGCCGAACTCGTATATTTAGGTTTTGTTAAG